CTGAAGTCGTAGAAACTCTCATGAATACAACGCGTTGCTGGTTTACAAATCTTCGAACATGTGAAATCCAAAAATACACATTGTCTTTTAGAAGGTGGTCTAATATAACATGTGTTGTAACAGAAACAGTGTGGTCCCAAACATACCATACTTTGCATAAGGAATCCACACAGAAATAAAGAGTTAATAACAGGCAGTATTAAAACAGTTCTTAAGAACTGTAAAATGCATTCAACTACTTTATTTCCGCGTATACTGTAATACGTTCCAGAATATAACATGTACAGTAGGTGATTTGCGTGCCTTGAAAAATACAAACATAAAACCTTTTACATTTGTTTAATTCCCCTTTCTAACGAAAGCTGACAAAAGATATCAGTCATGATTGATGGAACTATGATGAGATGGATACAACGATCTCAACGAGACCACGACTTATAGTTGGATATGATCGCATTTCGTTATGTGCGCATGTCAACTGAATACACAATAACAGTGCAAAATCAGATCAAACAAAATAATTATAATTGTATCTGTCGGTTATAAGCGGGATCGTTATTGACGAACTTTCCTGTGCGATAACGCTTTCGTGTGTTTGCACAGGCCATTTTCCGGAGATCAGCGAGTCAACACGATCGATTCCCGATCGTACGTCTACCTGCAGAAGTGGCTGGCCCAGGAGCAGCTGGCTGGCAACGACGTCGCCCTTGTAACCACGTGGGTTAGTGGAGTACACTTTACGTCCGTTTCAATACATGACACGTACTGGAAGTAAGTAACCTGTCTGTTGTGAGTCCTTACAGCATTAACATGAACCCCATATATATTCCATATGTATTCCATATATTCTCTATGGATATAACTCTCTCTATATATACTATTGGTAAAGTATTGGTTATCAAACAATTATCACCTAGATGACTCAAGAATGAACATAGATAATTAAATCAAAATGATATCAAATGAATTGAAACTAGAATCAGAAAATGATATGTACAAAAAGAATATATTCATGAAATAAATGCAGCAAAATACTGTGCTAATGATTCCTGTACTAGATCCAGGACACGGACGAAGTTCAGACATGGGTCCCGTTGTACAAAGTTATGTTAGCGCTAAGCTGACCGTAATTCCCATGCCTTTACATAGACTTAAGGTAGTCTTAGCGCTAAGGTTGTTTGTACACCGGCATCTGGTTTGCAAAGGGGGTGATGATGCCGTTCAATGTGAACAAAGTGGACGTCACGGTATATGCTGACTTCATGTACGCTGTAACTGCTGGCATCATCAGTGGCGTTCTGGATGACACAGAGATCCCGTTAGTGAGAGTACAGAGTACCACCATGTGGTAGATATCCTGATAGTGAGACTACAAAGCAACGTGATGTGGTAGATATCCCGAGAGTGAAAGTATAGAGCAACACCATGTGGTAGATAACCCAATAATGAAAGTACAGGGCAACACCATGGGTGAGTGAGTGAGTGAGTTAATATTTAACGTCACATCGGCAATATTTCAGCAATATCGTGACGAGAACATTTTACATTGATATGGAATATGTGTATATTATAAAACCTGTCATCGGAGGACAGCAAAACAACAAGAATATCTCAATTAGATTTAAAACTAGTGTGGAAGGTTAACACTAATAGCACTATTCGGACAATACAAGATAAAAACAGGCTATAGATCGCCAACAACTGAAGGTAGATCACCATACTAGGGACCATGGGGACTTACAGTACCTTTACTACCTGCATGGACCCTAGCTGGATTTACACCTTCCCTTCAGCCATTGGCGTTTATACTGAGATTTAGCCATACATTAAAATGACAAAAATACTACAATTAAAAACCTGGTAGACTTAAATTTACTTGAAATGTTTTGGGACTTACGTACCCTCTCAGGGGGACAATAATTTTACGATACTTTAACCCCCTTTGAGGGTACAGCCACTAACAATCTAAGTTACTAATCTAAACTACCAATCATTAAAATACATCTATCTACAGAACATATTATTCAAAATTCATCTATTAAATCAATTTCTTTTAAAAAGCCAATGGTTAAATGAAAATTAACAGTGTTCAAAAGATCCTTAACTATTTTTCACATTGAAATATTTATCCCTTATGATTGAGAATTCAACACAGTCAAGCAGGAGATGCTCGAGCGTGGTTCTCTCATCACAAGGGATACAAAACGGAGGATCTTCACCTTTTAATAAGTATTTGCGAGTATAACGAGTATGGCCAATGCGACATTGTCGCATGATGACCTCCTCAAATCTGGATTGAAAACCCAAGCAGGTGTAACCAATATAGGGTTTTATTTCATGTAATTTATTGATACCTACTGGGTTTCCCACTTCTTCTGCATCAGATCCCGGATGTAAGTTCTAATGCTAACTTTGAAATCGGAGTATGGAATACGAAGTGGTGTTACAGATTTGTTGAGTGCTGCCTTAGCAGCAAGAAAAGCCATTGTGTTCCCAGAAATGCCAACATGGCTGGGTAACATACAAAAGACGATGTCGCATTGGTCAGTAGCAAGCTCATTATACAATTCAATAATTTCTAATAAAAGTGGATGTTTGCAAGAAAGATTTTTAAAAGCTTGAAGACACGAAAGAGAATCGGACAAGATGATATATTGTTTATTAATATATTTAAGAGCTGTTAATATGGCGTTAGCTTCTGCTGTGAAAATAGAGCTGTTATTTGGTAATCTGGAAGATATTGTTCTGGATCCAATAACAGTGGCACAAGCCACTGCGCCACCATCCTTGGATCCATCTGTAAATAAGGATTTGTATGTATTATATTTATTTTTTAATTGATTATATTCTTGTTAATATTGTAATTCATTAGTTTCTGCTTTCTTAAACTTTGTCAGTGTGAGGTCAACTTGTGGTCTCACTAATTGCCAAGGAGGAGAAGAAAGAAGACGGGAAGGAGCTATATTGTCCAGCTCAATGCCAGCAGCAGAAATGAATGTTTGAATTCTTAGCCCAAGAGGCGGAACAAGAGAATACTTTTTGTTGGACAAATCCTCATAGAGAGGATTAAAGCAGGGTTAAATTAAAGCAGGTTTAAACTATATAAAATATAGTTTGGTAATATATTGTAAAGATAATTTTATACGGCGTTGGGTAAGGGAAGGCTCATCTGCCTCAACATAGAGACTGTCAACAGGAGATGTTCTGAATGACCCAGGACAAAGTCTCAGACCTTGATTGTGGACAAAATCTAAAAGTTTTAAGTTGCTTTTGCAGGCTCCACCATATACGATCAGTATCAGTATCGTACACCATTAAGACTATCCCTATTTAGGATCGAGCCTTGATGCTCTTGTACATATAGTTAGTGGCAATTGTATTTTAGAAATTAAGTGCCCTTACACACATAGGATGATTCTGTGTTTGATGCTGCCAAGGACCCAAATTTATTTTCTACATGTGATACTGGGAAATTATCCCTTAAACAGAGAAGTTCATGTTATTACCCAGTTCAAGGACTAATGACAATTTCCAACACACAGTGGTGTGATTATTTTGTCTGGACACTGAAAGACTGCCATGTTGAGAGGATCACATTTGAAGTTGAAATTTGGAAATCATGTCTGGAAATGCTGTCAAATATTTACCTCAGGGCTCTTTTACCTGAGATTTTCCCTAGGGATATATCGTTCAGGATATTTTGTATACTTTTTCTTTTTGTTCATAAGAACATACGAACACAGAAAGTACACAAGTGGTGTTTGGGATCTATTTTCCAAAGAACAAAGTTAATATTTTGAAAGGTGTTTTGATGTGATTGACTTGAGCACACCTAACAATGCTGTAAGTGAAATATTATGAACAAGCATGATCTTGTTGACACGTACATGTGCAGAAACAGTCTCAAACAGTCACCTGAGATTGCTAGTGTGATGTACATGTTTAAGCTTCACATGACAATGCTACGAAACGAGCCATGAGAATGTTTCAAAACGTCTGCGGGGGATCACTGGAACGCAGTGACGAACCGACAGCGTGCTGTGAGCATGCGGGCCATACAAACATCTTGGATCACGCCATCAACCCGTCAACGTCAACGTCATGAGTTAACACGTAAACTGCTTGCAACGTCGCAACCAGGTATGTACATATCAACCAACATATCGTGTAGTTGTTTGGGAACATGTACATTTTTAAAAATATTCATTTGGAAAATGATCCCAAAGTAATTTCTGTATATCTGAGTGATTGACCCCGATTCATTTATGACTGGAGTGGCACGCCTATATCTACACACGATGTATGTTTTCAAATGTATGTGTTGTTCTGCCCATTGCCCCTTATTGTGGCATATTTAGATAACATATCGCTAGTACACACATAAACCATCTGTTCATTACGTAAGTCGGATTGTTCAACCTAATCGATGTTTGATTTCAGGAAGAAAATTGTTTTCATATGTATCGATTGACTACCCCCCAAATGGCCAATGCATGCCCCAATGTGTATTCATACCTGTCGACTGCAAACCAAAGTTTGTGGGTGACATTACTATGACGCAGTCCAAACGTGTCCATATCTTCTACGTTCTGTGTTCCTGACTTAGCATCGAGAGCATTCTGTCAAATTCCTTTATCTACCCCAGACATATTCAGGGTTCCACTCACCCTTGACCTCCTTACCGACTGTTTAAGACACCAAACAACAGACACAGTTTCACATTGTAGATACTTTCTTGAATGTAATTTCTGTTACTGTAAGCTGAGTTCGAGACAACCATAAATTCGATATAATACGTACAATGCAGCCACCTTAAAATAGTGATACACATAGGAAGAGTTTGCTGAGACCGAATTGATGAGTTTTGGAGCATTCGAGACATCCGATTTCGCCAGAAGTGTATTCCTCTTAGAATACTTCCGTAGTTAATATACATTGACAAGTGAAGTACGCATTTAACAAAGTACATGTTTAAATACCGTATCGAAACAAACATTACACATGTTACCAGCTCTTTATTTGGCTTAAAACAAAAAGGAATTAACTACAAATTTGATGTCCAAAAACAGAACAATATAACCCGTATCAATAGGTAAGTAGACATCCTGAAATACACACAATATGTATTCACTATGGCTGTTTTAATATGTACCATATTGCCCTCTGTACATGCAAATGTCAGACCTGTTTTCTGTTTCCACAGATAGTGGATGCTCTAGTGCACATACTTGACACACATTAGTACTACTGTTTTTTGAATATGCATTACTATTACAACTATATTCATGTGTACTATATTTATATACAATGTTTGTACATGTATATGCCAAGGGATGAATAAACAGTTTATAAAGAAAGTAGATATACTTAAATACACACATAATATATGCAATATGGCCTTTTCAACGTGTAACCCGTATCAATAGGTAACTAGAAATACACACATAATATATGCACTATGGCTGTAGCGGTAGCGTATCAAATACATTACCATCGAATGATCTTTTTCGTTTGATTTTCGTTTGCCCGCTAATTCATATTTCTAAGCAATTTCTCAAACTTCCCTTTAAAGGCCTTGTTGGTTGTTTTTATTTTTATTATTTTTCTGAGAGGACTGTTATTCGGGTAGGGTACGGACGTATTTGGCCATTCCAGTGATGACAGTGACGTAGGTGTAGGCATCAGAGGTCCAGAAGGGAAAGTAGCGATCCTGGTCGTTGTATCCATGGAACACCACAGGAGAACGGCATTCACTGGTCATGTTGTCATACGTCTCTTCCGGTATAGTGCCCTCAACTCCAAAAATATATGGTTCGGGCCCCCTTTTTATTTTACATTTGTCATTGATAGGGATCTTTGTCCCATTGAACATCTCTATCCGGTTCACTGGGTACATTGCTGGCGATGTCTGAAGAGCAGAAAACACTGATCTCGAAACACATTACATAATACAAGAACACAAAATGCATACCGTTATCCCTTTATTGGAAGGAAGAAAAGGACTGCGAAAACCAAAACGAATCTCTTGTGTCATGTGCGGAATCAAACCCAGGTGTTTGAGGTGTACGGCATGAGCGACAAAACCCATTTACCGTTACATCATGTACCACACATGATTGTATAAAACACGATAGGATGGCTATTTAAATCAGAAAATATACGGTGTATCTTTATATCATCAATAAACTTCTTGTACGTGTAGATGTGGCAAGCCCACACACTTGTTCACATGCAAGTCCATAACGTCACATTTACAGAGCGTTAGCCCAAACAGCTCCGTATGTAAGTCGCAAGTTTGAACATGTTCTGACCCATGTCATCTTTCTTACCGTTGCGCCTTTGTTTGAACCAGAGAAGAAGGCGTTCCATGGTTTGTAGCTGCCCCCATAGCTATTTAAGTATAGCCAGGTTACAATCTTCTGCACAGTGTCTTGAACTAATGATGGTGTATCTGCAATGTGGGAAGAATGGAACGAAAGTTCATATTGTTAGATAATTGTAACACTTACTGAAAAACGTCATCAGCCTAACAGGTAATGAATGATCATGTCCCATCCCACAGTTCATTCTGACTTCAAGATCTAACGTCAGCCGGGGTCTCGTTCTACGAAGTGTTCGTAGCGTTTCGACCCGTCGTAACTCAATACTTTATCGTTGTGTGTTGAATGACATGGGGCTACTAACGCTTTGTAGTCACGGTCACCTGTTTGTGGGAAATGTATGTGTTTTGTGACGTGCTCAACCGTGGCACCGCTTCCTTCTCTGCAGGAACCCAGTTACACCATTGTATAATAGTGACTGATATGCACATTACTACTCTGAATTCTGGGTTCGGCAAACCTATAGTGATTTCTTTCTTGAAGCCTTATCTATTGACAGAGAGCAATCGTGGAGGTGGAGTGAATGCCCTGTGTGGACTATTTGTATATCATAGTGCCATTGAAGCTTCTGACTGTATGTGTGGCATTAAACGTTGGCTTGCCCTGCTCATACTTGTTTCTTAACAGGAAGCCTAGATTTAATTGGATGTTTGCTGAAAACGGTTCACGTCAAGAAGAGAAACTACTTTTACTAAGGTAAGAAACGTGACGTAATGACATCTGGTTACGTGGTTTACGTTTTTGAGGATATAGGATCGCGAACATTTACTGATTTCTGTTGACAGATAGTGTACATGAATGTCACTGTCGAGGTTAATGAACAGCGATATTTGCACCTACCTTTATCCCAGATAATCTGCCCCGTGTGCTGATCTTCAGTTGCCCAAATAGTTAGAAGTGCATTTAGAGCCATGGAGCTGGTGAAAATACGGTCTTCCGCATTGTTCTACAATTAAACATCTCCATAGAAGAAGTAAACAAATCATTGCCTATCAAATCAGTATTATGTCTGCACTTGATAAATACTCCGACCTTCGTTGTGAACTTCAAAACCTTCTAAAGATTTGAAACCAGTCTAAGAACTGGTAATTATGCAGTTCCACCATGTTTCGAATAAAACATACCATATGGTGACGGAGAATTATAATGGAATAAATTATGGAAACAAGGGTCCAAAATACCACTCATGAAAAGTCACATAAATGCTTTCATTGAATGTCCTTTTGAAAATGGAACAGAAACGAACTCGATGCAATCTCCGTTGAAAGATACGTATGATGTTAATGTTTACTTGAAGCTAGTTGGCCATGCTGCTTTCTCTAATCATGTCAACGATTTGTTTTGTGAATGTACATGCACGAGTGAGCAATGTTAATGTACACATTATTCTCTATTTCTCAAGCCCTGCTTGAGTCGACTAACGGGATCGGGTGGTCAAGCTACCATACCCACCTCTAGTCCAGCCCCATTCGACATTCCTTTAGGCGTGTTCTACACTACATGTAGTATTACCCCAGTGCTACCTTCAAGTCCAGAACAATCGCCATCTCATCAGTCCACTACCAATCGACATACCTTCAAGTCCAGTACCACTTAACACACCTTTACTTCAGTGCCACTCGACATATCATTCGACATACCTTCACTCCAGTACTATTTGGAATACCTTTAGTCTAATACCAGTCGACATTATTATTCAAGAACTTATCGAGTGGACAGTTGATGGAAAACTGCGCGGTTGAGTAGACTGGTGGTTGAGGCATTCATTCATCCGGGTTCGAGTCCCCGCAACGTATGAAACCCATGTCAAGTGTCCCGAACCTTCATATTACTGGGACATTGCTGTCACGTAATGTGGCGAGTATTACCACAGACTTGTGTTCGTATGTAATGTCGCCGTCACCGATGAAGTCATCGTAGTAGACGGTGTCCAAACCTGACTGGGATTCAGACTTCCGCTGGTCCAGGATCCAAGGCGAAGCGTAGGTCCGCAGCACCTGTTTAAAGTCCTTCAGAACCTGGTCCATTCCCTTCAGTTTAAAGAAATGCAATGCATTATAAGGTTGTATGTTTAAAATGGTATCATAATGTGATTACATGAAATAATGTGAAATAATCAAATATAATCGGTTTCAGGAGAGCAATTTAATCAACAGCTCAATCTCAAAGTGGACCGCTGCTCTTTACTATGAAGTTGCTGAGAGAGTGGCGCCGCATTGAACAATATTCCGATAAGTCACAACGTCAGCGTGTTTGGAAAGCCGGAAGTGGTGCAGGTTTTAACCGTTCGTCATTGTGGTCACATAGACAAACAGAACACGATCTGGAATTCACATATATGTATTTTACAAAATGCTGTCATTGTGATAGTGGCACGGGGTGCATTTTGGAGCCTTCAGGACCATATTGAAAGTGCCGCTCAAACAAGCCTTAAGGACCACTTACACTTGTCTGTAGTATTTAGCAGTTATCCATACTTGTTTTGGGGATCCTCACCCGAATACAAATAATCGTTTTGTAGCAAATACACTGGAACTACGCTCATGCGCATCAGTAACCGTTCATGCATTTGCAACCGAGTTTTGCGGGATAAACGTTAGTATGGAATCGGGCCTTTTGAGATGTCATATCTCGATCCCCGTGGAATTCTCTGTTTGCACGTCTGTACAAGAGAGACGTGTGGATACGTGTGGAATCCTTGACGGACAGGTGTAAACGTAGAAACGGATGTGTGTCAAGAATACGGATTCGCAGCGAAAAGAAGATTAATACTAGTCTAATACGACTGAAACACCTGGGCCCTCAGAACTGTGGTACCAACGATAGATTAACAGAGTTGTATATATTTGTACTGGAGTAGCCTATGCAACGTCACCTTGTGAGGCAGCGATCCCGTCCTGTCCAGGGTTTCCTGGAGTTTGTTGTATGTCCTGGCCACAAACCAGTAGAACTCAATGACTGGTGGATAGTATGTCAACGCCAGATCAACACGATCGGAGAAATTGGTCTGGATTTGGAAAGCGAGCATTCGTGTTGTGTCGTTATAGATATGCTGCAATGTCAACACAAAGCATATATTACCCAAGCGGTTTGTCACAAATACAGAGCAAGTGCGTATATGGGTTATCCCAAAACAGGCTTCGCTGTAGTCACCATGCATGGAAATGATTTGCTGATATATGTGGCGTCCCAAGTAGATATCATGGCCCCGTTTCAGAAAGCGCTACGTACGGCTATCGTAAATCAGTGTTAAAGTATGGGAGCAACGATCACCGTATTATCAATTATCACATGTGTTGAAAATTTAATTCAATTACTTATTTTACAGCTTATTATAATTTTATTTCCACCAGAAGTTGCTCTGTACACTCACTATCGGAATATCTACCACATGGTGTTGCTCTATACTTTCACTCTCCGGATATCTACCACATGGTGTTGCTCTATGCTTTCACCCTCCGGATATCTACCACATGGTGTTGCTCTATGCTTTCACCCTCCGGATATCTACCACATGGTGTTGCTCTATGCTTTCACTCTCTACCACATGGTGGATATCTATCTACACATGGTGTTGCTCTATGCTTTCACTCTCGGGATATCTACCACATGGTGTTGCTCTATGCTTTCACTATCTACCACATGGATATCTACCACATGGTGTTGCTCTATGCTTTCACTCTCCGGATATCTACCACATGGTGTTGCTCTATGCTTTCACTCCGGATATCTACCACATGCTTCTGGATATCTACCACATGGTTTGCTCTATGCTTTCACCTCGGATATCTACCACATGGTGTTGCTCTATGCTTTCACTCTCCGGATATCTACCACATGGTGTTGCTCTATACTTTCACTCTCGGGATATCTACCACATGGTGTTGCTCTATACTTTCACTCTCGGGATATCTACCACATCACGTTGCTTTGTAGTCTCACTATCCGGATATCTACCACATGGTGGTACTCTGTACTCTCACTAACGGGATCTCTGTAACAGAAGGTGTGGACCACGCTGTTAGTGTCGGGTACCGAACATAGAATGTAGGATTATAGAGTTATATCTACCAGAATATCTGTGTCATCCAACAAGGAGGGTTCGAGAACGCCACTGATGATGCCAGCTGTTACAGCGTACATGAAGTTAGCAGATACCGTGACGTCCACGTTGTTCACATTGAACGGCATCATCACCCCCTTTGCAAACCAGGTCCGAACTTCGTCCGTGTCCTGGATCTAGTACAGAAATCAGAAACATATTATTTTATTTATCATGGGTATTTTCTTTTTCTTTGTGTATGTGTGTATGCGTGCATATTACTAGGATCATAATTTTTTAATATACATTTATATTGAAACGGACTTAATGTGTACTCCACTCACCCACGTGGTTACAAGGGCGACGTCGTTGCCAGCCAGCTTCTCCCGGGCCAGCCACTTCCGCAGGTAGACGTACGATCGGGAATCGATCGTGTTGACTCGCTGATCTCCGGATAATGGCCTGTGCAAACACACGGAAACGTTATCGTACAGGAAAGTACGTTTATAACGATCACACTTATACCGAACTGACAGAAGCAGTGGCTTGTTTTGTTTGTTTAATTGTCTTGGTCTTTGTTGTTGTTGTATTTTCAGTTGAAATGACTATATAACGAAATGAGATTTTATGGAACTAAAAAGTGTGGTCCCCTTGAGTTGGTTCTACCCGGACTTGAATGTAACATGCAACTGAAGCACATAAGATCATCACATCATTTTTCCCCATCTTTTGAAGTGCCATTTTTCTATCCCTTCTGTTCATTCATAGGTTAAGTGTGCATCAAAATATATGGCTATTGTTGTAAATGTATCATCAACACATACATAGACACACATACATACACACATACGTACATACATACAAACATACATACATACATACATACATACATACATACATACATACATACATACATACATACATACATACATACATACATACATACATACATACATACATACATACATACATACATACATACATACATACATACATACATACATACATACATACATACATACATACATACATAATACAAACATACTATTGAAGACATTATGAGCAAATCAGTTTGGTATAACAATTCCATATAAAAGCCCATATATATTGCACAGTGTCATGAAGAGGGTATAACATTTCTGAATGATTTTATTAATGGACATGGTAAAATGATCACATCATAGTTCCATCATGACATTATGGAGCTCACGTCAGAAAAGGTATAGTTCTGGTTGCTGTTACATTTTGGAGTATATTATATATACACATGAATAAAGCAATTGGGTGCATTTTACAGTTCTTAAGCACAGTTTCAAAACTGTCTGTTATTAACTGTTCCTGTCTGTGTGTATTCCACATGCAACATATGGTATATTTATCTCAGTTATAACATGCATTACATTTGATGACTTTCTAAAAGGCAGTGTGTATCTATGGATTTCACATATTAGGAGATTTGTAAACCAACAATGCGTTGTATTCATGGAAGCCTGTCAGTTTCGTTTAGCACTGCGTTACAAGCTGAAAACTCGGTTGTCCGTGCATATATATGTGTGAGCATTACGGGTCGAAGCAATCGGAACAAATTGATGTATATTACATTATGGGTGTACCTGTCAGAGGGGATGGCTTAGTGTGAATTAGCAGATCGTTATTACATGTCATGTAACCGTTTGTATGGGAAGAAATGTGAATAGACAAATAGAAACATGAATATATTTCTGATACGAATACACAATGCCATTTAGAAAGTGCTCAAATGTAGAAACGCGTTTATACTTGGTATTACGTTATCTTAGTATAGAACATATTTTATTACTTTATGTCTTGAGTCCCATCCGGAATTCGCGCTTACACTCTCCCTGTACGTCCTAAATGGATTCAAATCAAAACGCACTAGAATGTGGACTCGTATAATCCCAGATATTCAACCTGTGGCATATTTCGGGTTCAAATATAGGATACAAATTGTAGCCCATCAAGAGCGGATCATTGAACAGATGAATGGTGTACTAAAGGTGTTACAGAGGTGTTACATACTGGCATATTGGTGGAAACCGCTTATGTGTGCACAAACATCTTATACATAGTGTTCACCTGCAAGTGATCAAATGGAAGACCTATTATGTGTTGGCACGCTGATGCATACATTGAACCTATACACAAGCATGTAAAGGCTACGATGGTACCTGTAGGCATAACGCTTTAGAGCATCAAATACAGATGTCAGGTTTGGGTTCTGGGACATCCACAAGTCAGAGGCCTCTGGGAAGGTGTGAGACATTTCCTTCAGCATTGAACCCAGACCAATATTGAGAAACGTGTCATCAAAATCTGGTGGCACGTGAAACACCGACATGTACCCGTCTCTGAAAGGAATGGGGAGCGTAATCAATAACGTAATGGTTTCTTCAAGAGTGAGTGAGTGAGTATCGTTTTACTCCGCCGTTAGCTCTATTCCAGCAATACCACGGCGGGGGACACGAGAAATGGGCTTCACACATTGTACCCATGCTTGGAATCGAACCCGGGTTTCCGGCATGTCGAGCCAACAAGGCTACCCCACCGTCCTGGTTTCTCCAAGAAGATGTTTCAGCGTTTTATAGACTTGGAGTGTCAAATAAAAGATAAACAACAGAGTTAAACTAAATGGAATGTGTTCTATCGCTGATATTAAAGATGACATTGAATAAATGGTTATGTATATAGTACGTATAGGAGGACATTACCTAGATCTCATGAGCCGTACCATAATGTATTCTATGTCCTTCAGACCAAGTTTCTCCAGCTCAGCATACGTCCAGTTCAAAGGCAGATATTTTGTCGCTTCTATAAGATCCACTAAGTTTCGAGGACTGCTGTCCCACGTCTTTAAGGTTTCATTATAGACTTGTGGCCAGAACGTCATCAACGAGTTATTGAAAGCAAGGTTTTTGTCACGATGATCCTTTATGGCGACAAGACCGGCGTTGAGCCCCGCCAGATTGTAATCCGTCATGTCCCCATATTTACTAAACTCTGCAAGAATCTCCATCACATACGCTGTGGCAAACATGTTGTTGTCGAACACACCAAACAGCTGTCTGAACAGTGCCAGGTCAGGGACACCATGGAAGTACTGCTTCACATAACTTGGCCAGACCCCCTTGTCTTCGGCCCATTCAAGTAGAGGCACGTATTTCTTGTCCTTCTTTACCTGGGCATTTTCCACAAGATCTCTCATGACTCGTATAGAACTTTCTATCTCTTGCTTAGTAGGGGAGGCGGACACACCGACCAGCGTCAGTAATAACCAGCATAACATTAGGACAGCCATGATGTATTGTGAAAGGCTGACACTATGGTGAACGATAGTTTTTTGGGAATATATAATGTATGACACACGAAAGCCGATGTGAACAAGGGACAGGTGCGCATATGTTTATCTCTTAGAGGGGCACGTTTTGGGTCATGGCTGTAGCTGCTTAGGTCATCAATAAATGTCTGGGTCGTGAATCATGTTACCATGAACATGCACATGCGAACTTATGGGACAAATGGGGCATAGTGAGTGAGCAAGTTTGGTTTTACGCCGATTTTAGCAATATTTCAGCAATCAGTCAACGAGTATATTTTAAAAACCTGACTAATTCCGTAAAAGGTACGGTGTGTGAAATGAAATATATATTTCAAACACGATTGTTTTTTAATTAATTTCAGATGCCAAAAATAACAATGATGAAGAATAAGTTATTCCCATGTTCACTAAGTCTTTATCCATAGCGAACTTTGACCTTAGACTGACTCGAGCGTGATGATTAAACATCCAATTTGATAGTAAGTGCATATGCATGTACTGTATTGACCACAACGGTTTACTAGGTGGTATGCTATTTTTTTCTTGATTGCTTCAAACAATGCAATCTATTTGTTTCGTCCATAGGCAGGTAGTCTAAGAGTGATACAGTTGCCTACAGGGATGTGTAAAACTAGAGGTTGATGTAATGAACAACAGTTAATGTTGTTGGTGGGCCTTGACATACAGTTAGTCCTGCCACGGACTGTCAACACAAGACACATATTTGGTGGTGTATAGCTGTATAGACTCGTGGTTGAAGTGTTCGCTGATAATGCTGAATACATCGCTAAGAGAGTGTGTGGTTGTATACGAATCATGGAATCAGGAGCTACAACCCAACCCAATGCACACATCACTCACTTTATATAGCAAATATGGAATACTGAGGATGTTTCAACCTGGCATCCACACTGAAGTCCTGTCACTACTACACAGTCTGCATACAAAATGACTTGGCGGTGTTGGCGTGAACATATATTCTAATTATAACATGTTTCAAAAGATCATAAGTCTGTTCAAATATCAAATGTACCTAATAGTAAGGACTTGCTCCTAAATTCTGAAAAAGACACCTGCGTACATACTCGATCAGGTGTTTCCTCTTATCTTATCAAGCAATGTTTTCGAGGCTTACCACATTAATAGAGACGCATTTAGATATATTTGAAAAGTACAACATGGTGCTACAGAAAATCATATTGTTTTTGTTGATTCCAATCGTTACAAGCGATGGGCTTCCATTTGACCTACAGTCGCTGCAAATGGCGATTGACACCTTGACGTTGCAGGTTATGGAACTTCAAGTACCGAAAACAAGGCACTTCTTTCCTCCATTTAGATGGGATGAAGAACAAGGAATGTGGCCAAGTGATGTCAAGCTAAACTTCCACGGTTACCCAGAAAATGCATTGTTCAGAGACCTTTTCGGGATATTCGACAACAATATGTTCGCGACCACCTACATTATGGCTTGCCTGATTGAAGGACGGCGGTATATCAACAGCACCACGTATGGACCGACACATGAAGAAATGACCAATGGTTTAAATGCCATTAAAAACCATCATGATATGAACGTGAACTATTCCAACTCACTGATGACCTTCTGGCCTCAGACATACAACGATACTCTTGGAGCTTACAACAGTTACCCAGTCAACCTCAATGACCTCATCAGAATGACTGACGCCATGCCACTGAATGCAACGTATGCGTTTCTCGAGAAGCTGGGTCTAAAAAATGTTGAGGGGATCATCAAAGTCTTAATGGAAATCAGGTCTGTATTAATTTTCTCAATTATAACACTTCGTAAATTGTTAATAAAGTACGATGGTAAGTAGGGAAATCTCTTGTGTGTATAGCGCATAGTCGTGTCCGGCCCCATAAGCCCAAACGTTTCAATTGGCACGCTTGAAACAACTTAGCAATATTCCAGCAATATCACGACAAGGGGACACCTGAAATGGGCTTTTCACATTGGGGAATCGAACCCGGGTCTTCGGCGTGACGAGCGAACGCCTTAACACACACACACACACACACACACACACACACACACACACACACACACACACACACACACACACACACACACACACACACACACACACACACACACAGAAACAACATGAAGCTGACATGCTGTCACAGAGGTTCAATGCTGTAGGGGCGTTGAATCATCATCATCATCATCATCATAATCATCACCATCATCATCATCATCATCATCATCACAGGCATTGCATATGTCAATGTAGACTTTATAGAAACTAGTTAGGGTGCTGTGGCAGACCAGTGAGTGGACAATAATACGTTGCGTACAGACCAGTGTCTCTCCAGAAAACAATTAACAAGTTGTCATTTAACAAGTTTTTCAGCATTCTGTGTACAGTGGCATGGTGGAGCACGGATAGTGAGGTCTTGTAAACGGCATTTGCAATCGACCGAACAGAATTAGTACTGGGTTTGAATCTAAGATTCACCTTGATTATGTTTCTGTGTTTGTTAGTTACATGCACCTACCCAATAGTTTCAACGAAGTTGTCAATGTCTGAGGCATGCTTAACGTTAACTTTCCTCCTTGTTGAAGTATAGGCTGTAGATACCTTAGAGATACACGTCTACGGTGTCTTTCATTCTAGGAGTCCTGTACACAGTAAGAAGGACAGTTAAAAAACCCAAACTACTGTTCAAAGCGGATTTTAACCGAACCCACAAAGTTATTGCTTTGCTGTAGTCTGTGTTGTGCTCTCCATGAGACACAGAACTGCCTTGCCTTTTGTAAGCGTAACACGAGTTTGTATTCCTGTATTTTGTGACATAGACGCGGTTACACACAGGCGTTTCACATCCCCCCGGACTTCGATGACAGCTTCCTGAACATTGGTCTTGGTTCCATCTTGTCAGAGATGTCCCACCTGTACCCGACCTACGACAAGATGTGGAGAGGCCACAACACCAATCTCACGTCTGTGTTCGACGCCCTTAAGCACTACGCCTACAGGTCAGTATGCTAGAGATGATACTTTTACGCACCTTAATAAGTGAATGACTCCTTGCTTGTGTGGACAAAGTGACAGCTCATACAGTGGAAGGTGGGTGTTTAATGCCCTGGGCCCACTTGCACAGAACGATCTTAGCGCTACAATTATTGTAAATCCATAAGATCGCGATCTTAGGCTTCGGCTACAATCGCCATCGACTTGCACAAAGCGATTGTAGGCTAAGATCGTTGTAAGTTACAATCGAAACAATCCGGACCAATTGTAAGGAGCTAAGATCATTGTAGTCTGTGACAAAATGGTGTTCAAGTTTCACGCAAATAATCAGCTTTACGTTTGGAGATTGCTTTTATATTGCATAAAACTGTACTGTATGATTCGCCTCGACACTTCAACACGGAGAATGCACAACCGATTTAACGTCGGATACATTGTTATTTGCTGTAGTGAACCACAGAACTACCGAGTCGATATCACAAAGTACTATTCCCACCCGATTCAATGTTGGAATAAGTGTGAAACAACATACCTTTTTGATGATGAAGGAAGGATACTAGCAAATGGTGTCCGCGTGCGAATAAACCATGGCCGTGACTTTTTCATTAACTCAAGAGCAGATAATTTTAGTTTATGGGCAAGATGGGAGTGGTTTCCCCTGGCCTATGCCGTTGCCGTAGAGTCTGTCATGCCCAATCGCAGAGCTCAAGATATTTTCTTTTCGGTGATGGAGTGATTTTGTCTTAGTTAATCATTAAAGTAATCAAAAATTAGATACAAGTTAACGTGCAAAATCAAGATTCAATTTTAATTTCACTTTTAGAAAAATATCTATCAACGCAATAGGGTCATATCATTAATATACTGTGAATGAGTATTTAACAACTGCTCTCTCGATATATTATTTGATATTCGTATTTCCCTGTCATGAACACTTTACAACACTTCTGTAAAAACCAATACTTCTCTATATTTAATTTTACACACACAAAAAAAGGAAAAAAGCCGTGCATTAAACAATGTCTCATTGACAACCAGTGGCAAATCATGCATTTAGGTGTTATATCATAAGTAAATATTGTCGATATTTGATATATTATTATAATTTTCATAATTATTAAGTCACTAAATCTAGACCCAAATTTATGAATGTATTTTTCGCAGTTCAATATTTTCATAAAACATGTAGGTATTTCCGTGGTTGAAATATCACATTCTCAGTTCATAAATCAAGTTAAAATGAAGAAGAATATATGTTATCGTCCAGATTGATCGTTTCCTTCGATGATTTCTTGAAATGATTTCTCTGCAAAGTGCGATTTAGGGAGGTATGTATTGTGCCCTATCACTCTCTATTTGCGTCTGCTATGCGCACTTGCATACTAAAATAGTCGTTAATTGCATGCTCCACCGTTGAAGAGTGTGTTAGCTTCCCGATCTTAAATACATGTCTTACAATCGCTCTAAGATCGGCTTTGTGCAAGAGGGCAACTGTAATTGTAAAGTTGATTGTAAGGCAACTAAGATTGCTCTGTGCAAGTGGGCCTTTGTATATTGCCATACGCACCTAAAATGTTATTGCGATATTAACTGTTGGTCATACTAACGTCCAAATCAAGACAGGGAAACTTTCAATGTCCTTTGTATATTGCCATAATGTTATTGCGAATTAACTGTTGGTACGTTTACCTGCTTATTACAAATAATGAACCTGTAAATGACCAAACTATTTTCATCATGAACCTTCTATTCTACGCAAATGCACACTGACAAAACAGAGTGATATCAGCTTGCCGACAATCGATATGAATAAATTATCACCATGCACGTACTCAAAGTCTTGATAGCAGTTCCCCTGAATGTGCAGGCCGTTCTCTGGGAACCAAAGGGTAAACACCATCGACCCCAGGACGTACTACTACTTGCGACAGTGGTTGCAGCAGGAGAAACAGGCCGGACACGATGTAGCCTTAGTGCCGACATGGGTATGTATTCATGGCTGTGAGAAGGGCGTAGAATGGTAACATCGATATCATATTAGAAATGTTATTATTACAGTCTTCTTTCTAAAACATATTTGGAACAAGGAGTCACGTTGTGTTACGTTAAAGGCGTTCACCAGTGTTGTTAATGTTATTGTACATGTAGGAGTATTATTTAGGTGAGAAATGTTAACACTTTACTGTGGAACTTATCAGGGACTGATAGCGGGTCGTGGGACATGTTGCATATGGTGGCCTCAGAAAGACACTGACATGAGATGGGCCGTAGCGTATTCCTCAGTAGTATATCAGGGATATGAGAAGCTAAACACACCAAAATCAGCTCCGCACAAATGCCACCCGTTTGAAAATAAGTGTGATGGCATTCAGATTGTGGTATAGAAGACAGCACGAAATATAAGTTTACAAATTCATTCATGCGCACTTAAAAACACGCGAATCCCATCGAAATCGCCCAAACACAGCTGGCATATAAATCAGCCTGTAATGAAGGTGTCCTGTGAATTCTCCTTGTTTATAGTCTCTGATTTGGTCTATAGTACGTGCTGCATGTGTACATGAACTATCGTAGCCGTGGCATATGTACAGCATACTGATGCACGTACGACGTACGCCAAGAATCGTGTGAAGCGTCCATAATATCATGCATTCCTGCAAATCCTAGTCCACAATGACAGTCTGGAACAATCGCTAAATTCTCATGTTCAGCAAAGTTCGAATCATAATTAAAGCATTCTGGTATTGATGTTATGTATTTAGTTTGTTTTTGTTGAAGTTTTTATCACTGCACACAGATCCAGGACACTGACGAGGTACGCATTTGGTTCGACAAGGGAGTCATGATGCCGTTTAACGTCAACAACATTGACGTCACTGTGTGTGCCAACTTCATATTTGGTGTCACCAATGGAATCATTAATGGGCTCTTTCAACCATCGCTGTTGGATGATCCCGAAATAATGGTCAGTCAATAAACACCTCAACACAGAGATGGTGAATGAATTGTTAACGCATTAAATAAAACTAATCATGTATGGTGACTGTTTATAAAGAGCCCGTTTCCCCGGATACCAAAGTAAAATATCACAGAGAATATGACTAAAGAATAAAAGCACATTTACATTGAAAAAGCTAATAAAAAAAATTACAATCCCTCATAATGTGTGCGCATTTCGTTTTTGCGTTGTGCGTCTATGTTTGGTTCCAGATGAAGTGGCGGGTTTCAATCATTACGATACATATTTGATAGGAAGTTTGTCATTTGTCAATTCATGTAGCTATGCATATTTGGGAGTACATATTTCATAATTTGGTATATGGCTGTAGACTAAAGGTTCAAGCTTTAACTCGTCACGCCGAAGACCCGGATTCGATTCCCCACATGGGTACAATGTGTAAAGTCCATTTATCGTGTCCCCCGCCGTGATATTGGTGCAATGTTGTTAAAAGCGACATTAAACTAAATCCGCCGACTCGTAGGAGAATTGCCCAAATCGTTGGGTCGACGTCATGATCTATCTTAGATGACCTGTCGCGGTTGAAGTGCATGTGTTAACAAGTCGCTCAAATGCCACAATTCGCTTTTTATATGCCTCAAAACCGATGATCGTGAGTTTCAAGATCTATTTTGTCAATATGCCTTACATTCAGAAGCATCCATGTGTTTGTGGGTTTCGTAAAGGTCTGCGACCTTCATCACTTCGAAATCACTTCCACAAGAATCTGTAAAGAGCTTAAGCACATGGACTTTGTACTGCTCAAAGCGGCGCAAAATACCAGTCTCCAGATAATTTATTGTCAAATTATAAATCATTTGTCAATAGGACGACACCAAGATAGTCATAGTTGTCAATGCACAATGAGTGTAAGGTGTTCTTCCTTTCAGCAAATCTATAATGATACATCTCGGATGATCACTTTCCAAGTCCAGACCAACTTCTCTGACCGAGCAGACCTGGCGTTGACGTACTACCCCTCTGTCACTGAGTTCTACTGGTTTGTGGCCAGGACGTACAACAAACTCCAGGAAACCCTGGACAGGACAGGATCGCTGCCTCACAAGGTGAGGGTATAACCACATTTGTTTAAGAGACCTAACAGTGGCACTGTCATGTTGAAAATTTGCGATCAGAGGATTACAGACTTAGGCTGACATTCTCTTTGATTGGTAAAGACTGCAATCATGTTGATGCAAACCTCTGTTCAAAATATAAAGGCTCATCGACAAGCAAGCAAGCTGTATTAAGATTTGGGAAATTGCCAGACAAAGGTTGTACGATACACAACGCAATATAAAGGTTATGGAAGTAGATGAACGCACGACCTGCGACGATATCACGAAACGCCTCTGTTGTAGGGAATGGAACAGGTGCTTGTGGAGTTCAAGCGTGTACTGAGAACATACGCTAGCCCCAGGGTTGTGGCTCAAGGCCACTCAGGTTCTCATGACGGCTATGACGTCATCTACTATGACGACTTCATTGGCAATGCAGACAAAACATATGAAAATCAAAGTGTGGTAAGTTTATGCGTTGTTATGAGGAGATATTATGAAGTATTGAAGGAGTTTTCTTTTACATCACTTATCGATTATACGATTGAAGACCAAAGAACGCCTTCGCCTTGACGGGCTCCATAACCTCTCGGCTATACTATCGCTCCTATAATATGAATGGAGGCGGCGGGGTAGCCCAGTGGTTAAAGCATTTGCTAGTCACGTCGTAGACCCGGGCTCGATTCCCCAGATGGGTACAATGTGTGAAGCCCAATTCTGGCGTCCCACGCTGTGATTTTAGTAAACTCACTCACTCACTCACTATAATACAAATGAAGTGATCAACAATTGCATTTGTGTTTTACATATGGATTCATCATTTTCCAACTGGTACATCTTCGTTGAGGGATTTATTAAATAATAAATAGAACATATCTGTGAATTAGGATAAAATTACTGACATCAGGGTCTCAGAAAGCTACCTCGGTAGACGCAGGTTAGCACTTTATAACATCTACTTCTGAACATTACACAACTATGTTTTGCAGAACAACGCAGAGGACCGTATATTCACGACCTCCATGGCCCTGAACGCCCTACTGACCACCTGGACAACACAAGACCAGAATAGCGAGAAGGTCATCTGGGATAAAGGTAGAGACTCACAGTATCCTGGATGTCTTTCTGACAAACATTTTGTGTAAGACCTGAAGCGTGAACGTTGAGGAAGTGACACTTAATCTGCTTTCGACTCTAACATCTCACAGACATCTAGAACGTCACATTTCTCTCCGATGGTGTAAAATGAAGTGCAAATACTTAGGCGGATTGAAACTTAGATCCTGTTCAGTCTTCATTTGTTTTATTGCCGATGTGACGTTAAACAATAACTCACTCACTCACTCACTCTTAATTTGTTTTGCGTTAAAACACTAAATAACTCGGCTTTCTACCGAAACATGGAATGTAGTTGCATACTTAATATTAATATATATAACATTGCATTTTTAATACGAAAAAGGGTTTGTTCTAAATCTATTTACCTCTATTGTGTCAAACGGCGAGAGATCACACACGCGTGAACACTAAGGGGCATAACTGCGCCATGTTAAGCAGTAGGTGAGCAGTAGATACGGACAGTATATTTCCGAGATGTTTTAATTACGAGGACCCAAACTATTCCAATACAAAGATCCACATTGTAACCAGATGCATTTAGGAAGAATCTCGAATTATGAGAATGGATGAAACGTAGTACATAAGAAAGGACTGACTGACTGACTGAGTTTGGTTTTACGCCGCTTTTAGCAATATTCCAGCAACATCACGGCGGGGGACACCAGAAATGGGCTTCACCCATTGTACCCATGTAGGGATTCGAACCCGGGTCTTCGGCGTGACGAACCAACGCTTTAACCACTAGGCTACCCCACCACCCCACATAAGAAAGGAAGTAATAAAGGAAGAAAAGGATAAAAGGATGGCGCTATCTGTTATATATATTAGATTCTCATATATGTTTTTCATTATACATAGATACACCTGCTGATGTAAAGACTACAGTTGAAAGAATCGTCACCTGGTTGTATTATTTCGGTTTGTTTGCTGGGTTCGAACCGTGGAATGCATTTTTCTCCGGCTCCTACAAGGGAGTTACAGTACGTATACATTTTGAAATGATTACAATCCAATTACATAGTTCCTAGCAGTTTAGTAGGGTGTTAGTACATCGTAGTCGGGCGACAATAGTACTCAGTAGAGCACCATTTGTCGTAAGGTCTAATAAATTGGCGGAAATACTGCTACCACTTGCTAAAGCCCTACTGAAAGGATGTTTACACATAATCGTGGTCTAATGATATGCTAAAATCCAAAACATCAAAACATAATTCAGGAATTTATATCTCTGTACGTTTTGAAAGCATAGCTGCGTTCCTGTCGTACAATCCTGAAAGGGCGGTGGGGTAGCCTGGAAGCCTGGAAGACCCAGGTTTGATTCCCAACATGGGTAAATGTGTGGAGCCTATTCCTGGTGTCCTCCGCTGTGATATTGCTGGAATATTGCCACAAGCGGCGTACAACTACAATCACCCATTCAGCCGTGAACGATATGGACATGGTTTGAGAAGTCTCTGGATCAGGCAGGGCATGTGATTTCCTGGTGGGTGGAGTATGATGTCTGAGAAGAGGTTGCAGGCGTTGCTAAACGTTGGCACTGTACTTCACCGTCAACTAATTTTAACAAGTAGATGGCTGGGGGCATATAGGGTTACCCTCCGTGTCCGTCCGTCCGTACGTCCGTACGAAACAGGAAATGTACTCTATCCACATTTCCACAAAAAACGCTCTGTGGAATTCAATGAACTTATACATGGGCTTTCTTGTGACTCTAATAGTGTGCATCTCATATTTTGTTTTTGTATTTTATTGTTATTTTTGTAAGTTTAGAGACATTTGAACTTACATAAAGTTTGTTGAATATCTCTCTGAATATATCTCCACAAAAGCTGCTCAACAGAATTGATTGAGCTTCTACGTGTGTTTCATTGGGAGTCTAAAGGTGTGCATCTCATACCTTGTTCATCCAATTTCTTAATTTTGTCACTTCTACAGATGTTTGAACTTAGTTGAATTTGGTTCTATCCTGTTTGTCCCATACAACAGGGGGTGTACTTTATCCACTTCTCCTCAGAAACCCACTGCACAAAACTCATTTAGCTTACATATGTCTTTTATAGAGACTCTAAAGGTGTGCATCTCATATTTTGTTTTTTGTATTTTATAGGTTTTTTTTGTATGTTTTGAGACATTTGAACTCAGATACATTTTGTTGAATTTCTTTCTGATGATAGTGAAATAGGGGATTAAGTCTATCCACCTCTCCACAAAAACTGCTCAATAGAATTGATTAAGCTTATACATGTGTGTTATTGGGACTCGAAAGGTATGCATCTCATAGTTGCATAGATGTTTTTTTAACTTGTTCGTGAATTTTGTTCAATTATTGATCTTTATATGATAATAGGTTGTATTGAACCTTCATGATATAGGTTGAATTGTATTGTGATAAGTTCATTGTGACATACATTTACAAATAAGTATTTACCTTTGACACTTTGGATATGTTTATTTTAAAATCAACCATGATATTTATTTAGTAGAAATTAAACACCAGAGCACACACAGTGTAGGGAACTCTTACTACAGCAGCGGGGGCATCCGTGTCCCTGGACACATTTTTTTCTTGTTTACCTTTCAGAATGACACATCATACATATTTTCCAAATTGAATATAAATGTACACAAAGCATGATTTTGAATTTTTTTTCACAAAGATAGAGGTGTCTAAGAAAGCAAAGTACAGGTTGTTAAGATGAGGACATTTCTTTTAAGTTGGCCATTGCTGTTGTTGACGTCGACGATGTCTTACGTAGATTTATTTTACATTCATTACTGAAGTCGGGTCATGTTTTTAATAATTTGTGTTTTCTAACTATTGTTAATGAACCCGATTATTTATTTGCATAATAACATTTCTGCTTAATAAAAAGAACATAATGATAAGTTAGAATAAAAAGACTCTTTGAAACAATATAAAAATGAGGTTTCCTTACTCCTGATTGTAGAGGATCTATGTCCTATTCTGTCGGTGATCAGCTGTTCAAATATTTCCAACCTCATAGAGACACGTGGCTGTCGTTGCACGAGGAGTATGATTCGTAAAATCCCTTAAATCCAGCCATTCCACAAAGCATCCTCACAAGGCATGACAACGGTGTCTCTCCATTGCTACAGAGCCGTACCACGTGTCAGACTTACGCTAACATTGGAATAACTCAAGCAAATAAGTTAATCTTAATTCAACGTCGCTCTGAGCAGTATTCCAATGATATCGCGGCATGTCAGTTAAATTTTGGAGGAAGGGACCAAATGATGTTCTTAGGTGTCAGATGTCTTCGGTCTCGCCCAAGGGACGCAACTCTGCATAGCCTGGCGTCTCAGGCCACTGAGCAGCTCGTGTGCAAGAAGCTTAACATGTCCATTTACCAATAACAGTTCGAGGTTATGCAAACAGGTTTATTGGTAGGTGGATTAAATATACCACTGTTCTCATAACATGCTTTCGGCAGAGTTGTTTTAGGAGTATTTTTATATGGAGTTTCATAGCTATTATTTAGATTACAGGTGACATAATAATTATGAATTTGTCGTGTTTGGCATGTGCTTCCATCTCTATTAAACACATTGTTTGTTAGTTCAGCCTCGAAAAAAAGGGATCCAGGTTGGATTCCTCACATGAGTACAGTGTGAAGCCCATTTCTGATGTCCCCCGGCGTGATAGTATGGAATATTGCTAACAGCGGCGTTGAACTAAACTCAATCACTTAATATACTCACTCTGAACCGACTGGAGCAATGTAATTTGACCAGGATAAACGGACCGAAAATTCACAAGGCGAAATATATACAAGGTGTCGAGGATTAATCCATAAAATAATAGTCCGAGTATGAGATGAAACAGAGAATGCTACCATACAATCACTGTCTTCACCAGCTACACCCTTCTTTTGTTTCCTTCTTGTCCTCGGACGCCTGCACCTATGTCATCCAGACGCAGACACTGGGGATGGACGATGGGATATTTGTGTCGCAAAAGGTGTCACATTCACAAGATCCGTCAAAGAAATCAGTGAAACTTAATTTAACGTCGCTTTGAGCAGTACTCCAATGATATCACGGTTCAAGATGATTTTAAGGGTCACCCATTTTGTTCTGGGGAGGTAGAGGTGAATGGGGGGTGGCGGGCGGTGGAGGGGAGGGTTAATCAAGTTTGTACCCAAAAATATGTTATGAGTATGCTTAAAAATTATGGGAAGGGGGGACGGTGATGGCATATTTGTGTCTCAACTGTACAGTTGGACTAATAGATATGCGAATAGTTCATTCTAATTTGACATGAGAATGAATAGTTTTATGTTGCGAGTTCAATACACATGCTATAATAATGTAAGTTATATTACATGCATTAGTCGAGTACATGTATGTTTACTTAATTGCTTGTTGTTTATCAGCGTTTGGCTGTACGTCAGCATCCTGTAAGTAATCGAACATGGGCCAAATAATCCAGCGATTGCTACAATAGGAAATATCCAAAAATGTACAATGCTGAACTTTCACCAGTCACCAAGCTTGACCTTGAGATCAAGGTCACATTTTACCGGTTTTGATTGCCTGTGTCAAATTCAAACCCGAACTCTGATGGAGCGTGTATGTTATATGTCTCAGAGATTGTGAATAAACTCTACATTGTAATTGCAGACGGAATCATTTCTGTATCCGATGAACCGACTGGAACTGTTCAACGGCACAAGAGTCAACACCACTCTTCATGCCAATGGTCATATCATTATGGGAGTTGAAGACGTCATACCAGAAGAGGAATACCAAGAAAAGATGAAGCATATCTGGGGTCGCTACCACACACCAACCGTCTTTCACGGCTACAACGCCAACGCCGAGTTCTTCCCCTTCTGGTCCTCGGACGCCTACACCTACGTCATCCAGATGCTGGGACTAGGGAAGTACGCGAGGACGATGGATTATTAGTGTATGGAATGTACAGTCTGATTGATTAAATATTGCAACTGGTTAAGTTATGTCTGTTGAAGACATGTGCATTCACATTTCAATTGTCAGGTCACATATGTTGTCCTAACCAGTCAATAATAATGACGGATTAAATCTTGTCTGGATCCTGGACTGATTCTATTTGACAAAGATAAATAGAGATCAATAAATGTTTCACCATTTATGACATTCGTCGCGAATTAAATCCATTGCACGGGAATTAGCTGCAGATCTCTCAATCTACGAGACCACCAGTTGCTGAGGGATATTACACTTTAGCGCCCCAATCCACAAAGCGTTAGTAGCATTATTGTAAGCCAATAATTAAATGAGTTATGAAAGAGCGTAACGTTACAAACGCTTTGTGGATCGGGAACCAGGTCTACAACGAGAGTTTGTTAACCAGGGCCTAGATTTCCGAAGCTCTCTTAGCGCTAAGATAGTCGTAAGTGCCATACATTAACATTAACTTACGACTATCTTAGAGCTAAGAGAGCTTCCAAAATCTTGGCCCTGGGTCCCTTTCCTCAATGAGATCTTAGCGCTACGACATTCGTAAGTCTATGTTAAAGAATGGGAGTTACGATCATCATAGAGCTACGATCGTTTTGTGGAACGGGGCCCAGGGTCCCGATCAGCAAACCGTTCGTGGCATTAAGTCAGTCATAAGCCTATGATAAGCAATACAGTTACGACTGGTCGTACCGTTACGAACTATATGGGGAAGATGGATTCCTCCAATGATGCCGATCTGTAGTATCTAGTCACGACCTGATAGAACTTGTGTTTGATTGAGGGAATGATGTGGAGGAGTGAGGGGATGTCGGTGAGGGAGGACGAGAAGGGAGTGAGGGGATGACGGAAAAAGGGAGTGTGGGGATGGTGCGAAGGGAGTGAGGGGGTGACGGAGTCAGCGGATGATGGGTAGGGAGTGACGGCAGGATGGTGAAGGAGTAAGAGGAGGACGGGAAGGCAGTGAAGGGATGATAGTGAGGGAGTGAGGGGAGAACGGGAAGGGAGTGAAGGGATGACGTTAAAGGAGTAAGAAGAGGACGGGTTGGGAATGAAGGGATGCAGGTAAAGGAATGAGGGGATGATGGTGGGGGGGTTAAGGGAATGACGGTGAAGGATTGAGGGGATGACAGGTAGGGAGTGAGGGGATGACGGTAAAGGAGTGAGGGGAGGACGGTGAAGGAGTGAGGGGACGATGGTGAAGGAGTGAGGGGAGGACGGTGGAGGTGTGAGGGGAGGACAGTGGATGAGTGAGGGGATGACGGTGAAGAAGTGAGGGGATGACCGTGTAGGAGTGAGGGGAGGATTGTGAAAGAGTGAGGGGAGGACGGTAAAGGAGTGAGGGGACGACGGTGAAGGAGTGAGGGGAGGACGATGGAGGAGTGAGGGGATGACGGTGAAGGAGTGAGGGGAGGACGGTGGAGGAGTGAGGGGAGGACGGTGAGGGAGTGAGGGGATGACGGTGGAGAGATGAGGGGAGGAGGAAGGAGGGGGAGGACGGTGAAGGAGTGAGGGAGGACGGTGAGGGAGTGAGGGCAGGACGGTGAAGGAGTGAGGGGAGGATGGGAAGGTGAGTGAGGAAGGACGGTGGAGGAGTGGGAGGATGGAGAGGAGAGGTTGATGGTTAGCGAGGGAAGGGATGACGGGTAGAGAGTGAGGGGGTGATGGTTAACGGGTAGAGGGAGGGAGTGACGGGTTGGGAGGGAGGGGTGACGTGAAGGAGTAAGGGAGGACGGTGACGGGTGATTGGATGATTGGATGAAGGTGAGCAAAGGAGTGAAATAACGGGTGAGAATATGGATGAGTGAGGGATTGTGGGAGACGAATAGCAATTGATCAATCTTAAGAAAATATGAGTGGTGATTAAATCACAGTCACGTTGAGTGCAGTCAGTATTCCGACGGAGTAACTATGTTGAACAGAAACATTTACGAAACGTACTTCCTGTAACAACTCACGTAATCGACCTTTGTGTTTGCATGAACTGATCACGTGGGGCATGTGTTATCTTTGTCGGGCAAATCATTCTTATCCAGTTTACGAGGTTTACTTCCCTACAGATCAGAAATTAAGGTAAACCAATTGCACATGTTGAAGTTTTCGTTTTAAAATCGAAGGGCCGATAACACGAGGCTAATCATTAACCATTGAATATTGTGTAACTGGTCAGGATGTTGCCAAGACTTTGGTTTCATCTGCGAAAACAGGTGTGTTACTTGGAAATTGCAGTAACCGTCCGAAACTCCACTACTTTAGGCTATCGTGACACATCAAGATGTCACGAAACGCGATAATACTGAGATACTATACGAAAAGGGTAGAGAAACAAAACGTCACAGTATTCTCTCAGAACATAGTCATTGTCGCCCTTGTGATTGATCACAACAATAAAAGTAGGAAATGTTATGCATGACAAATTATATGTTACAATGTGATGCTTCGGTGCAGATTCTTATACCCTTGTCAAGGAACATCGATGAGAAATCTCAATTTGAAACCAAATCTGTGACTGTTCCTGTAAAATTCTCCGTTGAGGTGTCAAGCCTTGATAAATACGACGTCCATTTATCTAACATGGGGAAAGGTGTTTAAAGGATTTGTTATCGTGTCTGCAAAGAGACACTCCTTGTCTAAATCGTAGATTATAATCCAGCTTGGAGGACGACGTGACCTAAGGCATATTGTTATTTTCTCTACGTATCTTAATTATATCTTCATGATTATCGCAATTTTACTCAATTGTCGAAGCGCATTCTTTACAATGAGTGATCGATGGTGACAAAATCTATAGCACATTCAGGTAAATAAATCGGCATGATGAATTTTGTGATTCTGGTGTCTCAAGGATCATATGTGATTTTTTAATTTTTAATGTATGTCTGTACTGTATGCATTTCATTGCAGACCCGTGAAGGTCCGGGTTAGATTATTGATCTTGCGCAGATCGATGCTCATGCTGTTGATCACTGGATTGTCTGGTCTAGACTCGATTATTAACAGGCCTCCACCATATAGCTCGAATATTGCTGAGTGCGGCGTAAAACTAAACTCACCCACTCACTCATTTAATTGTAAAGTACGTACGTGACATTTTAATATACATTTTCTCTCCATAACGAAAGAAACGTTTTGTTTTAAATGCAAAGCATTAAGTGTTTATTTTGTCTGTTGCTTAACGGTGTAATTCCAGCTATTAGGCGGCCGAAACATTAAGCGCCTACTTTGGTTGACAACTCAAAGATATTCCCACGGCAGATAATATATATATGAACAGTATGCTTGTACTATAACGTTTATAAAAATATGCAGGTCTCCGTTTTAGCAATATCTAAAATGGTGTTCACATAAGACGTACACATAACATGGTACTATAAGCATCGATCTTCGCAAGTAGGATACGATCGCATGCATCAAAAGTGGGAACATATAAGTTCCGGGACACATACTTTGTGTGCTGGCAATTAGGTGACTGACTCTGAAGGTGTGGGTTCGAATCCTGGATGGGACTCAACCCAACAAAAGTACTAGAATCTGTACCTTACTGAGAAAGCGTTATCCCAAATATAACACGTGTTACATTTGACCACTTTCTAAATGGCATTATGTTTGAACACGAATTGTAATTTCAAATGAATAACAAAATTTAAGCAAACGCTTCATGGCCCAAATTCTGTCTGGAGACCTTTTCTTCTACTCACAGACAGACAGATATTTTATTAAGTCCCACCTCGTTCATTGAAACATATATACAGTATATTAAAAGAAATTAACGAGCCACCCATTTAAGGTTATGAGAGACTGTAAAAAGCTATGTGGGCACACAACGTCTTTATACACAAATACAGGTGTGACCACAGCAAGTATTGGAGACAATCAAACGCTCATGCACGTGCCAGGCGACGTGAAGTCATTGATAGTGGCCTATGGACTTGCAATGTGTTACTGCACGTGCAGCACGTGCAGCTGCACACAACATGTGAAACTCATAAATTGCTGTCACTGTCGAAAGCTTGATCTTTGGTTAATCAAAGGTTCACAAATTCACATGAAAAGTCACATGCACAACATGATATCTGCATTGGTCCGGCGTTATCGAAACACTAATGACGTCGCCGACCACTCACGTTCTGGGCGTCCCCGAGTTACGTCGCCAAGACAGGACAGATGGATTCGGGTGACTCATCTCAGACACAGGTTCGAGACGGCAGTGACCACGTCGCAGACCATTCCAGGACTGCGCCGTATCCATCCCAAGACCGTCAGCAATCGCTTACGTCAGTATGGGATTCGACCACGACGCACAGCCATACGACCCGTTGTGAAACCGCCAAAGATGGTGTCGAAATCATGTTCGCCAACCTCGAATATGCTGGAGGAATGTTGTGTTTACTGATGAACAGGTTCAACATTTCCCATAGTGACGGGCGCCAACGTGTCTACCGGTGTTTAAGGGAACGTTATGCACGCAACTGTATCATGGAGAGGAATCGTTTTGAAGGTGGCTCTGTCATGATTTGGGGTGGGATAACTCCACGCCGCAGAACCCCTCTAGTAATTGTTCAGGGCAATCCCACCGGTGTTGGCTGCAGGGATCAGATTCTGATCATGAGGCCTGTGGCAGTTCCATATCTGCAACGTACTGGACCAGGACTGACATTTCAACAAGACAACGCTCGTCCTCACACGGCTAGGATTGCAATGGATTCTCCACCATAACAATGTCATGTTACTGCCCCGACCTGCAAATTCACCGGATATCACCCTAACAGAGCACGTGTGGGGTGAAATGCAGCGCCGTTTGGGCTGTCTGTCCACATCCTTCAGATAAAGGTTGTGACTTGGCACGAGATTTGGAGTGGATATGGCAGGCCATTCCCTATCGCCACGAGCGACACGTGACATCAAATTCCGTTGAAAGTGCTTTGCTGCATGTTTATTTAGGGTTATTTTTACAACTTTTCAAATAACTTTTATTGTATGCAATTTTATGTTATGCACAGTTACTTTTTT